AACATAGTGGGTGTAAAGAAATAACATTAGAATTACAAAAATTATTTGTCTAATTATAAAAAGACTAAGAAATTCGGTATATCAGTTAAGAAATGAATGTAAAAATGGCGGCGGGTGAATGGAGGTCCAATGAAGTACAGATGTGTGTAAGAAAAATTATTTGTAAAGTAAAATTCAGTTTGAAACAGGCAAATGGTAGTGTAAAGAATGCCATGCTAACTTTAGAAATGATCTACAATATATGGAACAGCAGTAATCGGTAAAAATCTACTTCTGCCATTACTATTACATGAAATAATAAACGGAAGTATACTGAGAGTATCCAGTTAATTATTAGTTATGACCTCAGATTTCTGGACATGTAATGCATAAAAAGTTTTCCATTTTCAAATTACAGTTTTTCCTGGAAAATTTTATAGTTACAGGTTGCATCTACCAATTCTGATTCTAGAGTAATTGTTTGATACTCTTTAGATGCAATTTGTAATGAAATAAATGGTATAGAATAGTTTTGTCGCTTTAAAGTTAAAAAATTTAACAGGTTTGCCCAAAATTTTGAGAGTAATTAAGGGTACTGAAAATGTACTTCTTTCTGGTGCACATATAAATGACACTCCAGCACATTGATGAAACCTTCATTTATTGTCCATCCAAGCATAAAATTGTGTGTTGTGTAATAAAAAAAGTTTCAAATAATCAAATTTCACACAGGATTGAATCATGGTGGTCTCAGCTATAAAAAGCCAAACCAGACCGGTGGATAAATTTGTTGAAAGTTTCAATATGGCGTGGTAGTGAGAACAGGAATATGTTGTGGCTGTGAAAGCAGTGAGATGGTGTGGGAATAAGAGGAGGTAGATGTTGTGGTAGTGAGAGAAAGGAGATGGTGAGGCAGTGGATAGAGTGGCACTGAGAGCACTCAGATGGTGTCGCATTGACAGCATTAAGATGGTGTGGCAGTGAGAGCAGAAAAGTGGTGTGAATGTGAGACTAAGGACATGGTGAGGCAGTAAAAGCAGGTACATGGTGTGGCAGTGAGAGAAAGGAGATGGTGTGGCAGTCAAAGAACAGGGAGATGGTGTGGCAGGGAAATAGTGTGCGAGTTAGAGCATAGAGTTTGTGTGGCAGTGACAGCAGGGGGTAAATGAGGCACTGAAGTAGTGAAATGGTGTGGCATTGAGAGGAGGCAGACGGTGTGGCAGTGAGAGAAGGCAGATGATGTGCCAGTGAGAGCAGCAAGATTGTGAGGCAATGAGATCAAGGAGATAGTGTGGCCATTAGAAGATGAGCAGCGAGCGCAGGGAGATGGTGTGGCAATGAGCAAACGGTTTGGCATTCGGTTGTGTGTGTGGAGATGACAGTGAAGATAAAGAAGATTAACAACTCGTTTACGAGGATTTCTTGGTTGTTCTTCAATTGCAAATGTTTCAGAGCTGCTCTTCCTATTATTATTCTTATTATTATTCTAGCTGCAATTGCGCAATATCATGCAGCCAGCCCCACGCAAAGCCATTCAACTTAGAACGAGTAGTGTATACGGACTAATACTGACCCTCCTGTTTGCGAGGGTCAGGCCCTGCCTGACTAAGCAGTGTGTCTTTGCCAATAAGAGCAGGGAGATGGTGGGGCAATGAGAGAAAGCAGATCATGTGGCAATGAGAACGTGAGATCGTGTGGCAATGAGAGCAGGGATATGGTGTGGCAGTGAGAGGAGTGAGATGGTGTTCTAGTCACAACAGGAAGATGATGTGGCAGAGAGAGCAGTGAGATGGTATGGCAATGAGAGCGTGAGTTGTTGTGGCAGTGAGAACAGAGTGTAAGTGTGGCAGTGAGGGCAGAAAGATGGTGTGGCAGTGAGAGCAGGGAGATGGTGTGGCAGTGAGAGCAGGGAGTTTTTGAGAAAATGAGTGCAGTGAGTTTGTGTTGCAGTGACAGGAAGCAGATTGTGAGGCAATGAGTGCCGGGAGTTGGTGTGTCAGTGAGAGCAGGAAGATGGTATAGCATTGTGATGGTATGACAGAGCAGGAAGATGGTGTGTCAGTAAGAGCAGTAAAGTGGTGTGCTGATGAGGGCAGGGAGATTGGTGGCCATAAAAGCGGAGTGATGGTGTGGCAGTGACACTAGTGAGACGGTGTGTCAGTGAGAGAAAGGAGATTGTAGTTGAGAGCAGACAGATCAGAAGACAGTGAGAGCAGGGTGATGATGTGTCCGAGAGTGCAGGAAGCTTGTGAGCAGAAAGTTGGTGTTGCAGAAAGAGCAGGGATTTCGTGTGGCAGTGAGAGCAGGGACTTGGTGCGGCAGGGAGAGCAGTAAAGTGGTGTGGCAGTGAGACCAGAGAGATGGTGTGGCAATGAGACCAGAAAGATGTGGCAGATGTGAGACAAGAAAAATCAAGTGGCAATGAGAGCAGAGAGATTTTGTTTATGAGAGCAAGGAGATGGTGAGGCAGTGAGAGCAGCGACATAGTGTGGCAATGAAAGCAGGGACATGGTCTGCCAGTGAGGGCAAAAAGATGGTGTGGCAGAGAGAGAAGGAAGATGGTATAGCGGGGAGTTCATGTGGCAGTTACAACCGAGTGTTGGTGTGGCAGTGAGAGCAGGGAGATGATGAGGCATTTGAAGCAGGAAATTTATGTCATTTAGAGTAGGGAGATGGTGAGGCAGTTGCAGCAGGAAGATCGTGGTGCAGTTAGAGCAGCTAGAAAGATGGCGTCAGTGACAGTTATAAAATGGTGTTGCAATGAGAAGAGGGATAATATTGGAATTGAGATCCAGGAGTTATTGTTGCAGTGAAAGCAGGCAGTTGGTGTGGTTGTGAGAGCAGGGACATGGTGTTGCAGTCAGAGCAAGGAGATCGTGTAGCAACAAGAGCAGAGTGTGGGTGTGGCAGTGAAGGCAGGGAGATATTGTGGTAGTGAGAGCATGAAGTGAATGGAGCGGCAGTGAGAGCTGTGACATGGTGTGGCAGTGAGAGCTTGAGGAAATGACAGCAGGGAGTTGGTGTTCTGTGAGGTCAGGGTGGCTGTGTAGCAGGTAGATGGTGTGAGTAAGAGCAGGAAGATAGTGTCGCAGTGAGAGCAATGAAATGTTGTGGTAATTTGAGCAGAAAATGGTGTGGCTGTGACAGCCGGAAGATGGTGTGGCAAAGGTGGTGTGGTAAAGGTGGTGAGGTGTGGTGGTGAAGGTGGAATGTGGTGTGGGAGACGGAGCAGGAGATGCCACGCTACAATGCAGATGTAGCCACATGTAGTTCAGAAAAGCTGGAAATGCTTGACAAAATTTGAGAATGTGTGGAACCAAATAGTGTAATTCATGCTAATTTTGACATAATTCTGACAACCAATTTTTGTTTTGTTTCTTGTTACTCTCGCATTTACAAATAGCTAGCTACTATAATTACAATTTTAAAATATTAACAAAGATTGATATATAGTTAATTTGAACTCAGTAATGCAACTGTGCATGCATTTTTTTGATGAATTGAGCTCAGTTTTCAAAATTTGTCAAGTATACGAGCACAAGTACTGCATGCACAATTATATATCTTTTTTTTCTAGCTGAATACTTCTATTATTGCAACACATCATGTTATGAAGCTTCTAACACAGCTGCACTCTAGAATCATGCTGCATGGACTATTGTGCTGCGAAGAAACATGTCATATGCTTTCTCTTGTGAAAGACACCAGAGCACAATATTAGTGCAGGAGGAGGAATATAGCCACGATCAT